AAAAAAAAAAAAACACCGAATACCTGAAGAAAATTCAACACTAAGACACCTTAGGCAGAATGAGACTATTATAGCACATGACATTCATGAAGATCTATGTAATATGCCCAAGATCTAGTCAAGGAAGCCAATTCCTTGCTGAAAGGAGATGAAGGTTCTGTAAAGTATTACTGAGAGCATGTATTGGAGGGAAAATGCTGCTTATAATCTCAGAGGTGAAATATTTGACCTACTCTACTTTTTCTTGAATTCATTCACTCTTCCATTCCCACCACTGTGATCCTCGTTTCTAGATCTCATAACGTATCATTCAGTTACAGTCGTAGCTCCAGTGGTTTCTTGCTTTCATTTTTTTTCTCCATTCCAACCTATCCTATCCTCTTTAGGTTAACGAATATTGTTTATTACTATTATTTTTTGAGAGAGAGTCTTGCTTTGTGGCCCAGGCTGGAGTGCAGTGGCATGATCTTGGCCTACTGAAATCTTTGCCTCCCTGGTTCAAATGGTTCTCTTTCCTAAGCCTCCTGCCTCAGCCTCCTGAGTAGCTGGGACTACAGGCACATACCATGATGCCTGGCTAATTTTTTTATTTTTAGTAGAGATGGGGTTTTTACTATGTTGGCCAGGCTGGTCTCGAACTGCTGACCTCAGGTGATCCACCTGCCTTGGCCTCCCAAAGTGCTGGGATTACAGGCATGAGCCACCACAGCCCAGGTTAATGAATATTCCAAGTAATCGATCTGATCAAGACTTTCAATAGTTCTATCGTCTGAAGCCTAGATCAGATGTGTTCCAACTCAACTAACCATCCCAACTAACTCCTCCCATATGGCCCTCACTTGCCACCATTCACAAAATCTGGTGCTACACTTAGGGCTCTTTGTTCTCTAAAAAACTTGTTTACTTCCATATTCATGCCAATTGCAAGTGGTATTTTCTCAACTACAGATATTTGATAGATTTATCAAATTCTTCTACATATACCAACTCCTAGATTAAATGGTGTATTCCAGTACTAATTTCAACAGGGGCAAGTTACAGTGGTCTTAGAGAGTCAAGGAAGCCTGCTGATGGAAGTGAAGTGGCTTCTAAACTGAAATCTAAAGCCTTAATGGGAGGAAGTCAAGTGAAAGGATTTGGCAATGGGGAAAAATCAAGACGAGGCTCTTTAGTGTCCTTTTGATTTCAATAATATGTGTGGACTTACAATTGGTCCCATTTTAACAGATATAATGTGAATATCACCTAATATTTGGATTTTAGTTGAACATCAATTTAAAAGTAGTTTGAAACATTCTGCAGACCAGCTTTTGGTATTTCCTGTTCGACAGGAAGACTTTCGTCACGGCACCTTTCCGCAACTGTATTTTCAAATCTCCCACCCATTTGAGTTATTATTTGCACATCTTTGCTACAATCCTTTCTCACCCACATAGAACCTCAACGTTCTTTATTAAAAAAATCAATTAATATGCCTAAACTATAAGGGGAAATTAATTGCTAACAGACCATATGTAGTTAGCAGCTCAGTGTAGGTTTTCATCTGTGTTCAGGCATCACGAACATGTCAGCATTTCCCTTGTTTCTTCTCACACCTACGTTGACACATGCAGCGGAGCTTTGCTTTCCTTCTCCTGTGCTCTCATCAACATGTGTTACCTCTGAACTGAGATCTACTGAGTCCAAACAAATTGTAGCAAACTGTGGAGGGACTTACGAAATTATATTGAAATGCAAAGCAGTGCTGAAAATGCAGTTTAGGTGCTGTCCATTTTGTAATTAAGTTCCATTATTTCAACATAAGCCAAAAAGCAAGAAAAAATGTCAATGGTAATTAATAACCACCATTTTCATTTTTATATTGGAGTCATCTTTAGAAATTCAAATCTTGAATTTTCCCCCTTTTTATATCTCAGTTGACAACAAATTATGGATGAATAATAGAATCTCATTTCACAGTATATATATGTAGGATAAATCGAAGTACAGTTGTCACATGAGGAGTCTGAAGGGGAGTGTCTTCACTGTATTCCCAATACCACTGAACATAAAACATATGTCAGTGTCAGAGTGAGATTCAGCCACTCCGGCATGGGAAGCTGCATTCTTTTCTAAGATGGCCTAGGCAGGTAGGGCTAACTAATCATAGCAGTTGTAAAAAATTTTGTAAGAAAAAATGAAATGGCATTTTTAAGAAAAACAGAATCATAATTAATATGAATAAAAATAAAATTCTAAAAAAATGAAGTTATATAAAAGACTGGAAAAAGATATCCAATCTGCAATTTCTTAGATCCCATAACATAATACACATATATAAGATCCTTAGACCCTATATATATATATTTATGGATATATAATATATGTGACATATATAAATATATATAATATATGTGACATTATAAATATATATATGTCATATATAATATATATGTCATAAGATCCCTGTCAGCTGTGCCAAAGACAGAGGCAGAGGTGCACACCTCAGAATGTGAATATGAGTCACAGTATGGATTACCTTTGGGTTTTACAGTCAGCTGCACAGATACTTTTTTTACCCCCAACGAACTGACTGCTTGACATTCATATTGGCCTTGATCGTGCTGTGCTGCGTGGTCAATTCTCAAAGTTCCAGAGGCGAGAACCGTATGCCGGCCTTCCACGGGGAGCTGTCCTCCTGCAAAGAGGTAAAGAAAGTACTCTGTATGGCCCAGAGCAGTGAAAGCCGGAGCTGCAGTCTGTCGTAGGTTAAGAGTGAGATCTGTCTTTCAGGAAATCCTCGGTGCCAGGGTGTACTGTGTGGGTTCTGCACTAGCATTGCAACCCCAGAAACACACCACACCCCCTGTTGCTTGTCCTTGAAGCTCTGCTACTGTATCACAAGGAAGTCTCATCTGTCACCAAAAGAACAGCCCAGCCTCCTAGTAAATTTTTAACCTTCATGTTTGTGCCCTTCAGCGGTACTATAATCAAAAAGCAAATTTCAGAACCAATTTGATTATTAAATTCGATTTTCAGATATCTTCGTGACAGCTGTTTATCATGTGTATGCAATATTTGGAATACAGTAACGTGACTGAAATACATTTAAAATGCAAAGGCAGCATATCAAAAATGGGAATTTTGTGATATCCACACTATTAATCTACACAGCCAACCACAGGCCGTTGTACTTTTCACTTCTGAGCTTATATGAGCCTCTGAATCCTTCTTAACACTTTATTCTTATGGTCATTATCAATTAAATGAGATTATCATTTTCAACTAGTTCAGTGAAAACTTGTGTCTTATTGAATGTCTTGTTATAGATGGAAAAAAAATAGCTAACCCTACTGAGTGTACACACACTGTGCCATCAACTGTTCTAAATGTTGAAGAGTATAAAAATCAATCCCCACACCCACGTTATGATGTAGGAAACGTCATCACCACCAGCATAGCAACAAGGACTCTGGCGAGCAGCAGTAAATGTGTTTGCCCAAGGTCACATGACAAGCAAATGAAGGAATGGAGGTGTGAACCAAAGCTTTGTGGTTCCAATGTGTACCTCCTATCAACTAATCTCATAAAGAATAGAGAAAGAATTTTCATACAAGAAATCCATAAATGTAGACGTACTTTAAATTTTATCTAGTACCTGAACTAATATGGAAAGTAGGATTTCCAATCCTGGAGGCATCTTAGACAAGGTCTCATCCAGCCAATTGTCAGTTCTGTTCTGCTACGTGCCCAGGTTCCCTGGAAGTGTTTGGTGCCCTTGGTGGTGGATAGGGCGTGAAGATCCCGCCTGCCAGGCACACACCCACCCACCCACGCTTTAAGAACATCAGCTGTTTGTTGGAGCTTCCTTTCAGATTTCATTTCACTGATGATTTCATTTTGTACTAGAAGAAAATTCTCCCGCTTAAAAATAAATGTTTAAAACTGTGGCACTTTCCAATAATTTTATTTTAAAAATCAGGAAGCCATTTCCCAGAGGGGATAATCTCAGGAAGGCCACACACTCAAATGCCAAAACTCAAAACATCATGAAAATTATGATGATGTCATATTTAGATCAAAGATTACTTTCTGTGTAATTTTTTCATGTCCATGATATACCTTCAATAATTAGTTGAAACTATGTTTTTTATTCTCCACAAAAGAAGACGTTTGTTTTCCCCACAATTACTTGTAGATGTGCTAATACCTGTTTTTGTCCACACAATTACAGGAGGTGGGCTGCCGTCAGCTTCACAGAGCCACTCCACAGCATGGTCTTCCAGCACCACTTGATCCTTGGGGTTTACTGTAAATTGCGGAGGCGCTAAAGAGAACGAAACATACATCAACAATGAAAATTATTTTACAAATTTCAGTGCCAATAAAAAAAAGAAAATGTGTTCAAATAAGTTGTGTGATCAGAATTTGTTTCCAACTACATATCACCAAGGTTATAAAGAGTGTGAAGGTGCCTCTGTATGTTTGTGCCTGTTTGCAAGGAAGCCAAAAATACACACATCTGGTCTGCAAAGCAAAACAGCAGTAGCCAATAAGAAGAAACCATTTCTAAATCTTATGGCAGCTGTTTCCCATGATTAAATCATCTCGGTTATCATTTTACTAGATGTGATAAATATATTTAAAGTTACAAATCGTACCGGAACTGTTAACAAAACAGTTTTCTCCAAGCTTTCACATGCATAAAAAAATTTGAAATGAGTTGATCTATTGATTTCGAGAAGAAAAATAAGCTCCTTAAGATGAATGTTCCAACACTTAAAATTATACTTTTGAAAAAGTCACATCTGTGTCAAAATTCAGAGTTCCAAATATTCAGATCTTGTATTCTTGATTTTGTATAAATAAGAAAGAGCTAATAGGTGCATATGCCATTCCTAGAAAGGGATTCTGTCCGTGACTCTTGGATTAAATGAAAAGTAAATCAATGTGGACATTTTCGAAGGGCACAATGATCCTCAGTAACACCTAAGTGATCAAAAGAACTTTCCCAGATGACTTTGTAACTGGAAAGGGGTCCCAATCCAGGCCCCAAAAGAAGGTTCTCGGACCTTGTGCAAGAAAGAATATGAGGCAAATCCATAAAGTGAAAGCAGGATGATTAGGAAATTAAAAGGAATGAAGAATGGCTGCTCCACAGGAGAGAAACGGTATAGGCTGCTCGGCTGAGTATACTTACAGTTATTTCTTGATTATGTGCTAAACAAGGGGCAGATTATTTCTGAGTTTCCCGGGAAAGGGATGAGCAATTCCCAGAACTTGGAGTTCCTCCCTGTTTTAGACCATAAATGGTAACTTCCTGATACTGCCATGGCATTTGTAAACTGCCTTGGTACTGGTAGGAGTGTCTTGTAATATGCTATTGCATTATAATTAGCATATAACGAGCAGTGAGAACAAACAGGGGTTGCTTTCATTGCCATCTTGGTTCTGGCAGGTTTTTGTCAGCTTCCTGACTGTTCCGCCATGGGGTCTTTGTGCCCTGTTTATTGTGCCAACCTCCTACCTCATCCTGTGACTAAGACTGCCAAACCTGCTCAGAATCCAGCCAAGCAGATCTCAGCCTCATTTTACCCAGCCCCCATTCAAGATGGAGTCACTCTGGTTCAAATGTCTTTGACAACTTGACAAGTCATTTCTCTGCCTTGTTAGATTTTTGCACAATTCCTACTACCCCCTTCCTTTCACCTGCCTCTGGAGGTACAAGAAACATGATAAAGTGAATAATATATGGCAAAGTGTATTTGTTGTAAGTTTCAGACTGTATGCAGGTACTAAAGTTTTTTTTAAAGTCTTCATCGATTCTAAGTAAGGTGCTAGACTAAAAAACTATGGTATAAGATAAATTACCAAGTAACACAAATTCATGGAAACCCTCAGGAATGCCCGTAAGCTATTTGTAAATAGAGGTCTAGTAAAGTCAAGCTGGAAAACAGACCACAAATCAGCTGTCTCAGGCTCCTCACTGCACAGATGAGAAAATTCAGACTGGGGGAGGTAGGATTGAATTTCCCCTGGTCAGAACTAATAAGTAGAAAAGATAGTAGGGAATCTGGGCCGCTCAACCCCCAGCCTGATGTTCTTTCCAGAACATTACACTAACTCCCAAAATTACTAGGAACAACTTAAAAAGAAAAAAAATATTTCTACATTAAAAAATAGATTCATGACACAGTAAAAGAGCTATATAACAGAAAATGGTAGTAGTTAAGAGAAATAATGTAGTCCCAGTTCTAGTGTTGGGAAATTTGATTTAAACTTTGGAAATAATAATTAAAGTTCACAATTAGCCAAGACTGTGTGAAAAGCATTGTTATACTTCATGTGTTCCCATTTTAGAAAAAGACCAAGATCCACATCTTAGCACAGTATGGAAAACATTTAAGAACATAGTCAATTTACATTTGTTTCTATCACTAAAATGAGCAGCTTGCTAGGTTGATGAAGAAATTATGAATATCACCAAAGCAGGCAGAGAAGGTGGAATAATTAGACAGAAATGATGAAGCCGACATCTTTGGGCTTTTCACGTAAAGTGGTGGCCTTCTGAGTCCCACCTCCAGAGCTGAAATAGCTAGCACATGCTGAGATGAAGTGTTTTGCTGTTTTATTAAAATCTAAGATCCTGGCTGTTCATTAAGGTGCTGCCTCACACACAAAACATTTTGATTTACGTTGTTGATGACCACAGGCCTTTTTACCTGTATGTTCACCCTGTGACTCATATCTTTCACTGAAGTTTTTTTATGTCATTTGATTTATCATTAATATTTGTTCCAGTCAGTCTAAAAAAGGAAGTTTATCTTGGATAACTGTGATCTTGGTTTAAATGGGCATTAAAAGATCAAGAACGTGAATAGAACCTGTTAAAATAATACAAAAGGATACATCTTAAAATGCTTAATCTATGACTAGGCAAATAAAATCAGCCTTTTAAATAAATGTATTGAATGATTAATGAACCATTTCAAATCCAATTAAAAATCTGGACACACAGATCCAAAAGTGACACAAGTACATGGTCACAAATAACATAGAACAAGCAGATGGCTATTTCAGGGCAAGCTCACTGGCAACAAGAAATCATTAGCATACTGTGGTATACGAAGTAGGCGGGATGGTAAAGGTTACCAGAGTTCTGTTAAACGTAGATTGACGCAGATGGACAGATAGAAGCATAGGAAGGAAGTACATGGAAAAAGCTGAGAAACAAAAGCCTAGCACAATGTGGAATACAGGTAATCGCTAAAGTGTGAAGGTGATCAGGCATTACATTTCTAAAAAGGAGGTACTGACGACAAAATAATGTAAGCAAAACAAAACCCAAATGCGATTTCTTTGAAGGCATTTTTCAATCTCAACATATTAAAAGTTTAAAAATAATGTTTGGGTGCTTTAAAAGTAATTTCCCCCAGGAGTTACCAAAGACCTTAAGAAAATATTTCATTTCTGCACCTTATTATTAGAGCAAGGAAAGTATTTTCGGGATATGAGCAGTTCTAGGGAAAAGCACAATTTTTTCCTGAGACATGTAAATAGGAACAAGAAGGTATGTATCGATTGCTACTTAAGGAGTTGATGCTAAGCAGTTCAATTTAGAAAACATTCTCTGAATGCAGGAAGCCTAGGCTGGAGGAAGCCTTATGCTTTGTAGTGGCCAAGACCACTCTTGGGGCTGACGGGGCTCACTGTTCTGAAGCCCTCCTGACTCTGTTCTGTGTTTCACAAGGTTCAGTGTTTTGGTAGATAACACCCTACGCAACTCTTAATAAAACTTTTTAACTCAATCAAACTATTCATAACCTCGGGAAGCCCTTAATGCAGATCATGTAAATTACTATACTCTTGTCAAGGATGAAAAACTATTTTAGAAAGAACAGGACTTTTGGTATGACTCCAATAGCACTTATATTCTGCTGTTTACTGAACTCTACCCTTGAGGAGGGTGGCATACAAGCATACATGCGCTCACACACACATATACATGCATACACACGCAGGCATGCACACACACATGCACACACACATACACACACATGCACGCTCACACATGCATGCACACATACACGCACACATGCACACACACGTGCACACACATACACATGCATGCACACACACACACCTCACACCAGAAAGGAAGGGGCTGCCCCAGGCTGCGAACTAAAATACAAAGAGGAATGTGTCTTCTTTACAGCACGATTGCATGCCCGCGCATATAAATTAATTTCTGGATTCAGAATGGTTTTATTATTGCCGTTGTCACACAGCCTGGCCTTGTAGGAGCCTTCAGCATGTCCTCAAGCTCTGTTCAGTAGACAGTCTGGTAAGTGACTATGAACACAGAGCACAGCCTATTCACTTTCATATCCGTACTGTCTTTCCTGTATCTGTAAAATATTCTGAAGCACAAATATCTTTTGACAGTTTCCTTCCAGATTAATGACTTCATCTCTTTTGTTGCTAATGGTTGATTCTGACCTTTGGATAAAGATTGAAATAGGAAAGAAGAAAAACAACTTTTAACTTGAAACAGATTAGCTTTGAAAATCTTATTGTGTCAAAAATTAATTGGCAAAAAAAATACCTCTCAGCTGATGTACATGACATTATTTAAGCTGAAAAATAATTTTCCGAGTGTGACAGGAGGAATATTTCACTCATGACCTTCTGCTCCCATACCTTGTACAATTATGTTTGCTGCAGCTTGAACAGAGCCGTGGCTGTTGCTGGCGTGACAGGTAAATTGACCATGATCTTGTAGTGTGACGTTCTGTAAGTAAAGTCCACTGGCCGTTGCCACGTGCCTGGATCCATCCAGCTCCAATCCGTTGTCCCTGGTCCAAGTGATACGGGGGTGTGGGTGGCCTGTGGCCATACATTCCAAAGTTGAGCTGGTGCCAATTAGAACCTCTGTGTCCTGGGGCTGGATTACAAAGGTTGGTTTGGCTGATGGTAAGCGGGGAACAAAACAAAATCCAGCCAATCGAAGTTAGGATGATTTATTTATTCTGGATTATTTTAAGATTATCATCATTTTCAAATTGTCTTTATACTAAAATATTATATATATATGTGTGTATATATATACATATATATATTTAATTCCCAAAGAATTAAATCTAAACTAAGTAAATGTGGATTTGCTGTAATTACATACTTTTTTAAAAAAATTGCTAGCTTTAATATCATAATATGTTGTAGACACTGCAAAGCACCTACCAAATACATATTCCTTATTTTAGGGGCTACATGTTTGAACGTTCCCTCTTAAGAATACTCACCTTTTTTTAAAACATAGTTCGGTCAATGAGATATAGGCACATGTCACTAGGAATAAATAAAAGCGCCAAGTCTAACTAGTCCTCTCTTCCCTCTGTTTGCTACCTGGAATTTGGGCAGGCATGCATTTGGGTTACAGGAGCCACTTTGTGATTAAGAGGTGAAAATTATAAGAAATAAAGAAACCTATGTGCAAAGCAGATCAAAAAGCAGAAAGACGAAGATTATTTTCCCATTGGAGTAATGTGGCAGCTCTGTGACAGACTACCCCTGTCCTACTTGAGGCATGCAATTAAAATAAACATGTGCACACACAAACACACACATAGATGCTATGCATTTAAGCCATATCTAGTCAAGGTTTCAGTTACTTTCAGCTAAACATATTATAAGTTGATTCATCAAGTATCCTTGTAAATAGAAAATTTAGACTTTCATATAAGGTGTTCCACTCTTATTAATTCATAAGAGCTTCTCTTTTCTGGCAATCTCAAGCAAAAATTAAATACTTGCTAAGGTGCTAAAAATGCCTAATGATTGAGTCTAAGTTTGGGGCGGGGGGTGGACGGGCTCCTCCATTCCTGAGATGAACATACTCTGGAGAGTAGAAATAAATGAATTCAATCCAATTCAACAATAAACGTTTAACTTAATTCCTAACAATATTGAATGGCTTAAGTATATTAGTAACATGCTGGATGTTGGAAAGATACAGAGATGAACAAAACACACTCCTTGTGTGCTCGTACTCAGTTGCCTGAACAGAGGACAGAATACATCATCTGTAAAACTACAACATGCCTCGGAAAGAATTGTCTCAAGAGTTAGGTGTAAATGTGGTAGGAGAACATTGTGACAGGAAGTAAGGGAGGGTATAAGGAAAGCTATTACAATAATTGAAATGAATGTTCTGAATTAAGTCAATGGCAGTAGAACTGGAAAGGGAGATAGTCTGATGCATCTTGGAACTAAATTTTTAGAGAATTGTCGAAGGAGTAGCACTAGAAGTGAATCGGAGGTTACTGCAGCAGGATAGTAATGATACCAATAGAGATAGCAAACACAGGATGCTCTGGGTTTGTGTGGGCAAATGTGCTCGAGAGATGTAAAAATTTACCTATGAAGATAAGAAGAAGGTCCTGGCAACATCCACTGAAGTCTCAGGAAGGGTCTCAGCAATAAAGACCATACATTTTACATGAAGTATGAAAGCTGAAGGTTTGGGAAGAGATCAGATGGAAGAGTAATAAACTGTGACTAGGGTGCAGGAGATTAGAGAAAGAAAGGGAGGAAGGACAGCGTTGTAAGGAACACCACATTTTAGACAGGCAGAAGAGATTTTAAAAGAGGATTGATGGCATTAGGAAAGGATCAAGAGGAAGTCATGTTCTCAAAGTAAAAATGCTCCTACTCCTAGAAGTACAGGGTCAGACTTGACCTAGAGGCAGAAGGGAAGGAGGCTTTGGAAGGAACTAAGGCAGGGAATTAAAATAAACTTCAAGAGAAAATATTCAAGTTTCTTTAAAACAGAATTAGAAAAATTACGGCCAATGGGAATAGTTTCACTTCAAAGCATTAGGAACTCTAAAGAAGCAATATTAGGTCATTTTCTAGTGCAAATAACTGAGAGAACTAGAAAATAATAGTTTTACCAGGAAGACTGGAGTATCTGAGCATGGCACTCTGTGTCTTGGCTTCCCCAGCGGAATTTCTGGCCAGGCACTGATAGGCACCTTGGTCTGACTCTCTGGTGTTTCGGATCATGAGTGTGCCATCATCAAACATATTAAGTCGAGAATCATCTTCCAAATCCAATGAATGGCTGGAAATATATATTATGCATGTGCATTATTTAATCACATTGATATTTAAAGCTCTTAACAAGACTGAGAATATAGTACTATATAACTATGTTTCATGTCTACCCAATCTGTTCAATTTATTGTATCTGAATGATTTTAATTATTTTACTTTAAATTCTAGTTCTCTTATTCCTATTTCAAGATTATATCCTGAACAAACACTGTGAGTCAACATCTGATAGAGGGAAATGGGGTTGAAATGTTCCGCCTTCCCAAGTGGCATGAATTTAGACACTGAAGCAAGCACTCCCATATGACAGACACTTCAGCATATTTTTATACATCTGAATGCCCATTTTTTTAAAAAAGAATCAACAGATGGTAATATGTAATCCTTTTACCTCTTTCCATGAGTCATTCAGTATTCTTTCATATTTTCTTAAACTGTAAAAGAAATATTCCTATTCAAACCAGCATGGCTCAAAGTCAAGTATAATCATGTGACTGAGCAATAAATAACACACCTACCCACCCCGTTGTTGAATATTAGGCCCTCTTCTCTGACTTGCACCATTTGGATATACTTGAAAAGTGCCATTTATCAATTAAATGGATAATCCATTGAGTGCAATTAGGCTCAGATGTGCAACATCATATTACATCAATAATCACAATAAAGGGAGTGCCTGCATATTTTTAGCAATAAATGAAGAGCTACCGACACAGAAACATATGTTAGAAATTTTTACAGCCTTATTTCTGGCCAAGATGTTTTTCCTTTAAAAATATTTAGTGATTATATATGAGAAGGTATATCGATTTTGACATGTGTATGCTGAGAACTAATGAACGTGTTAAGCATAGATAAAGGAAATCTCTCTTCCATCATCCATCACTCAATACATATTTATTAAACACTGACTAGGTGTCACCCACAAAAACATCATTCACAGAGAAAAAAAAAAGTCCACTAGGAGAATCCCATTGTTATCCCTAAAGGGAGAATTAAAATTCATGCATTTGTTTTATAAAACCACGTAAACATTTTCCCACTAATTTCAATACGAACCCACACTAAGGAATAACGGTCCATTCCCATATAGGTAAAAACAGTAAAGCTTGTTAAAGAGATGAAGAAATCACCATTCTTATTTAACTATTTTTGTCATGAAAAATAAGAAAGAAACAGACAATGGCCATATTTTACTTTTATGTTTTAGAGTGGAATCACAGAGTGAAGACAGGACAGCTGGAGGCGAGCTGTTCTTCTTCAGCCATTGGGTGAGACAAGCTCAATGTGAAGAAAAAATGCCATTTAGCCAAATAAGAAATTCAAGTTGTCATTTTTGAAGAGATTAGT